GGTTATAATAACTACTTTAATTAATAAAAAAAACCAAGTTTTTAGCAATACAAGTTATTTTTTTGAAACAACAAGCAAGCACTATACAAGACCCGGGTCTATATGGCTAGGAGGTTATATTGTAAAAGAAAAAAATACGTATGTACGTATGTATGTATGTACTTCTGCATAAGCAGTCTGTTTTTTTATTGGCCAATATTTATGGCACGTGGAATAATCTAGAACAGAATCTAGAACAAATCGACTGATGATTATTACTAAATAAGGTGTGATCTGCAATAACCAAATATGGTATATTCCTAGACTGTAGTTGGATAACGATAGAATCACTAGGTAAATATCACTAAAATTGAGTGACAAAAAAATGTGATTGTTGATTGTATATAAAAGGTCCTATTAGCCAGTAGCAATGTTTCGTCAAAGTAACGTTTCATTAAATAAACGTGTGAATTTATAAATCACCAAAAAATTTCAATTGCCCCCTCTTTTAAAGTAGTATAATCTATTTGTCAGAAGCCACAATGGCGAGTAGAAAATTACAAAGTAAGTACAGAGAGGTACCTATATTCAGAGATCAAAATTGAAAGCTGAATTAATGTTGACGCAGAGTGTTCGCGTCCATTCCCTTATTTAATCTGACATCCGGTTTCCCGAAATATAAAAACTTAGCCGAAATCGATCGCGTTCTCAAAAAGGTTGCTGAAGGAGTTGAGACTTTTGAGGGCATTTTTGATAAAATTCAAGCCACTACTAATTCTAATCAAAAAGAAAAATTAGAACAAGATCTGAAAAAAGAAATTAAGAAACTTCAAAGGCATCGAGATCAGATAAAAACATGGATATCTTCAAATGATATCAAAGATAAGCGTGCATTGATTGAAAACCGGCGTAAAATTGAACAGGTTCGAATTTGGATGCAATTTACGATCTTCTCAATATTTATCAACTCCGTTTCATGCTTGAGTCCACCTTATCTCTTGTAAAAATTAAATTTATTTTGTAAAATTGTGCTTTGCTTAGCAAATGGAAAAGTTCAAAGCATGTGAAAAAGAAATGAAGACAAAGGCTTATTCTAAAGAAGGCCTACAGCAGTCGATAAAGATGGATCCTAAAGAAAAAGAAAAAATTGAGACATGTGAATGGGTGTCTAATCAAATCGATGCACTTAGTACCCAGATTGAAACTGCTGAAGCCGAAGCTGAACTACTTCAAAGTGCTGTCAAGAAAGGCCGAAAAGATGCAACAAAGGCTGATCGGCTAGGTGAAGTAGAAAATACAATAGAAAGACACAAGTTTCATGTGAATCGGCTAGAATTAATATTGCGACTATTAGAAAATGGTAATATCCCTGCGGAAAAGGTATTTTTGTTAATAAGTTACACATTACATATTTTTATTCAGACGGTTGCTAGATTTAAGAAAAATGGGCATAATAATAATAGTAATAATAGTAATAGTAATAGTAATAATAATAATAATAATAATAATAATAATAATAATAATGATAATGATAATGATAATAATTTCCATAGGTTATTGCAATCCAAGATGACATCAAATATTATGTTGAAAGCAATCAGGTTTGCAAATCTTTTCTATGCAATTAAATTGTTTGTTATACATACTTTCCTAAATATCTGATTAACTAAGGAACCCGACTTTGCCGAAGACGAAAACATATACGACGATCTGAATCTTGAAGAGGAAGAAGAATTATGGGGCATTACGAACGAAGATCATCATAGTAATGATGAATCAAACTCAGATGGTAAAATTTATAATTATAAGTAGCTTAATTTGCCATTCGGCAAAATCCTAGCTTTTATTAATTCCTCTGTTGATTATACAGAACCACGGACTCCGCCAAAGGATGTAAGGTTTAGATTAATTGGAATTTTGGTTATAGCTTAATGTTGTCTTAATAATAACAAAGTGTGTTGTATTGAATAGCCTTCAAGTCCGGCAACGTCACCAACAACTAGAATTGTTGTGCCAAAACCTCCTATACCTGTACCCACTCCAACAAGAAGTATGAGTTATTTTATCGATATAAATTTTTTCTATTCAAACTGTTATTTTATTCATTGATTTCATTGTATAGAAACTAGCAATCCTCCTGAACCATTATCACAACGTTCGAAAGAAGAAGGTACAAGCTCTGGGTCTACGCTTGTTATATATTTTAATATTATTTAACCATTATTATTGCGTTCCCTTTATAGATAAACAGAAGCCACCAGCAATATTAACTGGATCAGCAATAACATCTAATAGTCTTCAGTCTCCACCCTCCACATCAGCTGCATACCCCCCACTAAAATCCGCTCCTCTTACTGGTCCGACACGAACATTAGCTGCAGTAGTAGCAAAGCAAGGCATTATAGATACAACGCCGCCGGTATCTACGCCACAGCGTTATTCTACGACTGCTGCATCAACTGTACAGGATCATTCTACTGTTACACCAACATCAACATCCATATTATCATCAATTTCACAACCACCACCACCACCACCACCACAACATCAACAATCACAATCACAACAC